GTAAATAAAAGTGTAGTTAGGTAGGTACTATAGGAGAAGGGCAAAATTAATAATTAATTACATTAATCAATTAAATTAATTAATGAAGCAATTCTATTTTGTGTGAATATAATTAGTTTTGGTTTGAAATTAATTCATAAATTAAAAGATCACTGACACGTACGCGCGGCATCTCCTCTTCAAAAATAATTTCCACTTCTCGAATAGTAAAGAGCATTCTTATTTAATTGTAACTGTTGTATAATACATTTCCATGCACGATAATGAACTGGAAATTATTTTGTAATTTCAACAGCCCGTGGGCAAGTTAATTCATTATACAAATAGCACGTAGCATTGCTGTAAAAATATAGAGCGTAATTTTGCGAAATCACATATTAAACGGAAGACCGGAAAATCAGGGGGGAAATAATGCGGCTCTACTTGCGCACGCGAGATGCACCACGCTCCGATATTCATTGTTGCCGCAACGCACTAAATTGCATTTTCGCGATAAAGACGATACTGCGGCGAATAACTGTAACAATATTGATGCGAGTGCGCGTCATTAACCGCCTTGTAATGCGACGCGATTGGATTTTCGCCAGAAATTAAATCGAACGTAATCACTATTGATACGTCACGTAGCGAATCGGCCCCGACCGTTATCTCCGCATCCCCGTTTAATATCTCGCGATAATTTATCTCGAGTACGGCCGCGTTATATTATTTCGTATCGTCTGCCTCGTACTAAATGAAAACTGTCATCCGCGCCGTCGCGCGGCCGGATTGAAGCGACGGAGAAAAACAGATCGGATAACGCCGATATATGATTTATGCTTGTGACGCCGTTGTAGCGCACCACCGCCGCCGGCTGGGATTAATTTACATCTTTGCGCGAAGGTGCGAAAGAAATTATTGCACACGCGCGAACGGCGTGCGCAAATGGACCGAAACATGTCCCGGGGAATCCGTCCGAGAAAATGAGATCGAGTCGAGCGTACGGTAATCGCGGTAAGTGCGACAAGTATACGATTCGTGCGCTCGGTGAATTCTATCAGCGTGTTTGACAATTGAAGGAAACTCAGCCGGCAGCTGACTAATCGTCACCTATCCCGTCCTCGCGGCGGCTAAATGCCCGATGTCAAATTAAGTCGTAATCCGTAGCGCCGCTACGGATCATCGTTTATTGCGAATAAAGAGTCACATCCAGTGACCTTGTCGCTACCCACAGTATGATTAATGTCGAGGCACTTATTACGTACACGCGCGCGAACCTCGGTTTAGCGAAACCGAACGCTGGGCGAGACCCGTATCCGTGCCCTGCACACCCAGAAAGAACATCTATTTAGGTGAAACAAACGAGATACGTGTTGAAATCGTTGTTTCTGTGAATCTACTAAATTTTTATTATACTTCTACTAAAACATTTGTTAGATTTGAAGAAGTGGACATGAATTTTCTTGGAATTTCCAATCTTGATCAAATAAAATTTTGGTTAAGCTAAAGAAATCATTTCTTTGAAATTAAATGAAAGTCTAGTAAGGTCAAAATTCAAACAGGCTTTTTTCTGGGTGCGACTGGATCGATCTCGTTCGCTTTCTCATAGAGGAAGCTGTGTACTTTCATTAAAAAAAATTGATTCTCAATTTTCTTTGCCAATGTGTTAGAAATGTTCCAAAATGTCGACAAATCAAATTTTGGCGAAAATGTCTGTGTGTACGCTGGAGTTGATGTGGACTCTTTAACTTCTGCAAAGTTTGAGAGATCGGTTTGATTTTTTTTAGATTAATAAAGTATCATTAAAGGAAGGTTGGTATTGAATTTGGTGTTAATTGCTGCAAGGGTTCAGTTTATGTATACATATTTCTGGATATTAAGAAATCATTTCTTTGAAATTAAATGAAAGTCTAGTGAGGTCAAAATTCAAACAGGCTTTTTTCTGGGTGCGACTGGATCGATCTCTTTTGCTTCCTCATAGAGGAAGCTGTGTACTTTCGTGAAAAAAATTTTTTCTCAATTTTCTTTGCCAATGTGTCAGAAATGTTCCAAAACGTCGACAAATCACATTATTATCAAAATGTCTGTGTGTACGCTGGAGTTAGTGTGGGCCCTTTAACTTCTGCCAAGTTTGAGAGGTCGGTTTGAATTTCGTCATCCCTGAATAATTCATTACGTATTCCTGTAGCTTACTTTTTTTTCCGCGAGAAAGATCATCGGTGTTTTTCTCTGCAATTATGTACTCGCTCGATATACCCCGGGTAAGCATCGCTCATGCTGATCGCATCATTTCAGGTGTGTTCCTCGTGCCTTACTTTTTAATACTCATAGTATGTGGAGTACCATTGCTGTACATGGAGCTCAGCATCGGACAGTTCACTCGTCGCGGCCCAATCGGCGCCCTGGGCCAAGTGTGTCCGTTATTGAAAGGTAAACCGGATAAAACATGACAGCTTGCCGATTAAATCCCCGACGACTATTTGTTAAAAGCTTCCCGTTCATTTTTATAGCGTTACAAAGCGCGCCGACTGGAAACACGCGCTTGACTTGAAACGAATAATTGAGAGAACGTAATAGGATTAAAATTATCCTTTCATCCTCTTTATTGTTTTTGTTGTAAAAGTTTAAATGATTTGTATCTCTAATTTTAACTCGAGCCTCCTCGGAAAAGACGTCTTAAATTGTCTCGTCTTGTCACCTAGTCTACGGAATATACGTTTCTGTCTTTGCAGGAGCTGGTTTATCGTCAGTCGTAATATCATTTTTAATGTCTACCTACCATAATGTGATAATAGCCTACGCAATTTACTATTTCTTCGCGGCATTCCGGCCGGAGCAACCGTGGTCACGTTGCGATCACTCGTGGAACTCGCCGCGCTGTTGGCTGCCCAGTTATGGATCCATCGATAATCGAACTCAACCGAACCTGACAAGAACGCCGTCCGAGGAATTTTTCGAGTAATTTTTCAAACATCTAAACCAACTAATTCAAGCTGTCATTGTAATATTACACACTGCTGTACACATCGCCTCTCTATTATAACGAAATTTTAAATATTTGGTTCTCGTATCGCGTGCAAGACGGATCCGTAAAACGATCGCGTGCCGTAGTTTCGAAAGTGTTTGAAAAATGAATAACTGCCTTTCTGTTTAGCAACAAGGTCCTGCAAATTAGCAGTGGCATCGAAGAGCCGGGGATTTTGAGATGGGAGCTCGTGGCGTGCTTGATAACCGCGTGGATCTTAGTATATTTTTCCATCTGGAAGTCCATTAAGTCATCGGCGCAAGTAAGGTACCTGACAGCAACGCTGCCTTTTCTCCTAATCGTGGTCTTCCTCACGCGATCCCTCACTCTGGAGGGCGCCTCGAAAGGTCTGCAATTCTTTTTTCATCCACGCTGGGAATTGCTTGGCGATGCAAAGGTACCGTAGTTGATAGAATAAAATAGAGACATGTAAATAATAATACGATACGAGTGAAAGATAGAAAATATAAATATAGAGAAAAGTCCCTTATTATACGAGATAGGCTTCTAATGTGAGACAACGGGTTTTCAACGTCCAAACTCAATTACAAATCTTTTTTCACGACGATTACACAATCTAACAATGAAGTTTCCACTAAACACATTTCACTTCAAGAGCAATAAATTCCTGGTGGAAGCAACAGATGATGCTTGTTAATTTAACAGAAACCCCGCTATTTCATATCAGGAACTTGTCTCATAATAGGAGACTTTCCTCCACATAATTGCACTGAAAAATGGTAGCTCAGCTTCACATTGAAACCACTTTTTATACTGAATTTTGACTTAAAGTTAATTATATCATTGTCGATATTAATTAATTAGGTATGGATCAACGCTGCGGCGCAAGTCTTCAATTCCGTAGGGATTGCCTTCGGCTCGATGATATGCTTTGCGAGTTACAACCGATTCCACAACACGATCCTCGTAGACACCCTAGCCGTTTCGCTCATAAACGCCTTCAGTAGTCTACTGGTTGGAATATTCTCGTTCGCCACGATCGGCAATATAGCGCTGGAGCAAAACATGTCCGTCGAAGATGTCCTAACCGACGGTACGTATAGAATTAGAAATGAAGTTTACGACACGCTAAATATGATAAATTATGTAAGTATCAATATAAGTATGTCACGCGCGTTATGGAGAGAAAGGGCGTAAGACTCGTGATAGAATCCATAATGTCGAGACTGTTGCACTTCTTTTTCTATCTTCTCCCCGCTGCTTCACGTCATCAGATTAACTCCCCCTGACATTTTATAGATAAATCATAATTTCCGTTCAAGGACCTGGTCTAGTCTTCGTCGTCTATCCGCAAGCGCTAGCCAAGATGCCGGCTTCTCAACTCTGGGCTGTGCTATTTTTCTTTATGATGGTCTGCCTTTCGTTGAACAGCCAAGTAAGCATACAACGACAGATAAAGCTCTATTTCCTATCGCGACGCTGCGTACACGCGCGATTACAGATTAATCCATGTATAAACGTAAAATTACGCCATTAAATTTTATCGCCGCGCGGAATATCTATGGAGACACAAGCGGCGTTTAGTCATGAAGACTAACAAAAAACTAAACACCGGAGTCGCATTACTCAATCGCTTAATGGATGCAAATCGTATTGAGACAGGCTTTCTATTTCGGATATCGTGATAGTTGGGCTTTGGCAATGTTTTAACGTTATTATGTAAACTTGGGGATTTCAGTTTGCCGTTGTTGAAGTGGTCGTTACGTCGATCCAAGACGGTTTCCCGAATTGGGTGAAGCGTCGTCTTCTCTGCCACGAAGTGTTGGTTCTCCTCATATGCGTCGTTTCGTTCTTATGCGGACTGCCGAATATTACGCAGGTAGAACTCGAGTGTTTACTTAACGTAATAAAAATTAACGCCCTTGTCCCTCACGAAATAATTTCCCCGACTGTTTCAGGGCGGTATTTATTTCTTCCAACTGATAGACCATTACGCCGCTTCGATGTCCATCATGTTCCTGGCGTTCTTCGAAGTAATTGCTATCTCGTGGCTCTACGGCGTGCGGCGGCTGTGCAACAACGTCAAGGAGATGACCGGACGCATGCCTTCGGTGTACTTCCGGTTCTGCTGGTTCCTCGCCGCGCCTCTTCTCATAATGGTACGCAACGATATCAATGAAAATTTCAAGATAGAAGAATTATCATATCCACGTGTCTGAATGAAGCGTAACGAATGAAAATTACAGGCTTCGACACAAGCGACGAAACATTCCGAAAGGAAATTACAAACGGCCAATTACTCGTGCAATTATTGTTCTCAGAAAAAGATGAAATCTCTTGTTTTTATCTGATGATAACAATTGCGCGGATGATCGCCCGCTTTTAATCCTGGCTTGTTGCGTTTCTCTTGAATGCAGTCGACAATCATGAAGACAAACACATCCGCATTTTTATAATTGCCTTATCTTCTCAGGCTGTCTGGGTGTTCAGCTTAATTGATTATGAGCCGCCGACCTACCACAACGGCGATTATGCGTATCCATGGTGGGCTGAAGCGATCGGATGGGGCATCGCGTCTCTCTCCCTAATTTGCATTCCCGCTTTTGCCGTTTACATATTCGCCAAAGCGGATGGTGTCACGTTCGCCGAAGTATGCCGAGTTTTATTGACACCGTTGAATTGGAATCAATCAATTTAACACTGGAACTATCAAACGCAGTCAAAATGACTGGTGTTTGCTAATTCTTTATTAAATTTATAATTTGGTACATCTTCTGAGATTTTCCATGATTTTGGTTGCAATATATGTTGCAGTATATGACTAGTTTACTGCCTTTTTCGAAGGTATATGTAGTGTATATAATATGTATATTTAAACAGTAAAAGTATATAGTAATAATAGTTCCGGTAGTTCTAGTGTTAATTATCTTACTATGAAAAAAATTACATAAATGTTGATATGTACTTTGATCATTTCTCACATCGTGAGAATTTTCTTGAAAATCGATAGGAAATTTAACACGATAATCTCGCATCATAAATTAAGAGACCGCTTATATTTGTACCGATAAGATCCTATTGCTAGATTGCTAAGAAGTATTGCTGAAAGGAAAGGGTATTTCTATATAGGTACTTTTATCCCCAGAGACTCAAAAATTCCATCAAACCGCACTTCGAGGCGTGCAAAGTTTGCGGACAGGAATACTGCGTGGAGCTCATGCACAATTTGCCAGAGGATATGCTCAAGGAGCCGCAAACAGACGTGAATACTTCCATACAATTGAATTCGCACTACCTGCTGAAGCCTCAGACGTGACAACGTGTCGACTCGCAGAGGCGATCAGCTTTTCACTCACTTTGAGGAATAATTGTTCAACAAAAGTCGTTCGCATACTTTTATCGTCGGTCATCGACATCTGTCGCGGCGGACAACATTCCATTATTTATAGCCTTATTAGGACAATAACGGACGGTAATCACTTGCGAAAGAGTCATTTAGATAAAGAATATATCTTGCAAACTGTTATTCTTGACGCCATCGTGTGATAAGCCATAGACAAGCACTGAATTGACGCAGGAACATATTTCTGTATATATCGCAGTCGATATAATGTTGTATAACATTGTTAATCATAATTTAATAAATTATTATATATTGTCCAAGAATGTGTATTTCTCCTTTAATGTTATCTATGTTGCTCTCTTAATTCCTTTAATAGGCAGTAAGGGATGAAACTGAAAGAGCGAGAGACTGGAAGGGAAGACCGCCAATAGCTGTCGTAGCCAGGACGGTACCATCAGGTATGTGCAATTAATAACTATAATTATAATATAAGATGTGCGGGAATTATTGCGAGAGCTGCGCAAGCAATTGGCGAAACACGTCGTTACAGTTAGATAATCGGATGACAAAAGAGGTTTCATTCTCGAAAGTGTGTCAAAACGAAATTTATCGATATCACGTGCAGACGTCACAATTACGCTTTTCTCTTAGTAACGATTCGCGCGTTATATTTGACAATTAAATAACTATACGACAGAGTATTGTAACTATATAATAACGCGCGCTTACGTAAGTTTAGAATCTCCGTTACGCAGCGGGTTTCCATTGTATTGAATCCTCATACAGCAAATTAGATATAACTAATTGCATTATGCGTCCCTGGGACACAAGTCCCGCAACGGCACTCTCTCATTTGAGCATCGGGCAAGCTTAAGTTCACATCGAAGTTTACCTTAACATCGTTCCGCTTAAAGTTGCTGAACCATGACAAAGAAGTTCGAATTTAATTGGCGCATCGAAGTGCCGGAGCTCTTGAGAAACGGCTCGGTGTTCGATCGATGGTTCGAGGACAAAGAGACGACTGAATACGAGCCGAATTGCCTATTCAAAGTCGACGAGTACGGTTTCTTCATATATTGGAAAAGCGAGGGCAAGGTACCGAAACTTTCTAGTTTCATTTTTAATTAACAGGTAAATCGCGTCCGGTCATCATTTTTCAACAAACGTAAATAATTCATGACTTTCTTAATAGGATGGCGACGTCATAGAATTGGCTCAAGTGAGCGATATTCGTTATGGAGGCACGCCGAAGGTAAAATCCGCGCGAGGAAAAATTTGAAAGAAAAATATAACAATAAAAACTTGTCTTACAATCGATTATTGGTCCATCCAGGATCCAAAGTTGTGCAATAAATTAAGTAAACACGGAACGCAGGAGCAATTGGATCAAAAAAGTTTAACTATATGCTCCGGGGTGGATTACACGAACATTACTTATCAGCACGTTGTATGCCCGGATGAACAAACAGCTAAGGTAATATTTAAGAAGTTGTGAATGGGTTAAAACTATATACGTATAAATTTAAACTTTAGAAAATTTGTGGACATTATTGAAATCTTTTGTGAAATTTAATTCACCAATTTCTTACTTTTATCATAATTAAATTACTTGTGCTGATGCAAACGGAAAATTGCTTGCAATTTAATTAAATTATTCCATTTACTCTTTTCCCTTTTGTTTTAAATATACATATTGCGTTTACATTTATTTTATATATGTTATTTTGGTAATGCAATTAATACGTTTAATTATTTTCTAACTTCTCTATATGCTAGTCTGCGAATCATTTCAGGATTGGCAGGCTGGTTTGCGTTTAATTACGCACAATACAAAAGCGAGTAACGTTTGCCCAACAATACAGCTTATGAAGCAGTACGTATTCATTAACTTAAATCCATTACAGCTGCGCAAAAATATAGCAAATATTTATTCGAAAACGCTAATGCTGTTTATTTCAATCATTATATAAAACTTGGCTCGATCGTTGGCCCGATATGTCAGTTGGATGCGGCTAAGTTTCCAAGTCGATCCGAAGGGAAAGGTACCTGTGAAAGTGATATCAAAGACTTTTGCGTCTGGAAAGACCGAGAAACTCGTTTATCAAGGATTATCGGAACTGGGTCTGCCCAGTGGAAAGGTGAGTCAATAAGTACCGGGAGTTTTCAAAAGGAAAGGACCTTAATTAACGTTTAAACGCGATTAATAAAGTTTACTTAAAGTTCATTCGGGGAAATTTCGAAGTTGTCGTTGCTGCGAGTAATTGCATGATTTTGTCCAACTTGAAATAGAAAATGAATGCGTTCGATAATAAAAGTGTTTTGCTTATAAATGATTTTTACTCATAAAAATATTATATTACCTCGCATATGCATGAAATTATTATCTTGTTATTATCTCGTATATACAAAGTTTACATATTCTTAAACATCTACATATATTTGACATACAACATTATTTGGTATTTAAACGTAATTAATTTATGTTAACGTTGACGCTAATTGTAAGCGAGAATTAATATTTATTTAATCTGTAAATATCTAACAAAATATATCGACGCGCGTATTATATTTTGCACATGATTACATTTCACGTTTTAGAATGACAAAATAGAACCAGAGGCCTTCACGTTCGACAAGTTTTATAGTTTGTACTTTAAGATATGTCCTAGGAATGATATCGAGGAACTCTTTCAATCCATGTAAGTATAATCTGATCTTTGCAAAACAATTTCATACGTTACGAAGGGATTATCATCGATTTCTATGTTAAAACAGCACGAAGGGGAAAACCGATACCATAAGTTTGCTGCAATTGGTGGAATTTATGAACACGAAGCAGAGAGATCCGCGACTCAACGAGATATTATATCCGCTGTATACGGAGAAGAGATGTACAGAAATCATCAATGACTACGAGACGGACGAGAAAGCGAAAGCGGATAGTGGGTTTCCGCAACGTTCGATTCTTTTTCGTTGTTACTTATTTTTTTACGTCGCCAACAACGTTTCGATGTTTTATCTTTAGAGAAGCTAACGAAGGATGGTTTTATACGATATTTAATGTCGGACGAGAACGCGCCGGTGTTCTTAGATAAGTTGGAGGAATGGATGGACATGGACCAGCCGCTCTCGCATTATTATATCAATTCGAGCCACAACACTTATCTCAGCGGACGTCAGATCGGCGGCAAGAGTACCGTCGAAATGTACCGGCAGGTTCTGCTTGCTGGTTGCAGGTGACGCGATCTTTCAGTCGTTGTGACGACGATACAATCGAATATCTATTGTAGATGGAAAAATATTTTAATAATTTCGAAAGAAAGAAAAACTATTGCGACTGTAGATGCGTCGAGCTGGACTGTTGGGATGGAAAGGGCGAAGATGAGGAGCCTATCCTAACTCACGGTAAAGCTATGTGCACCGACATCCTCTTCAAAGATGTGATCTACGCTATAAGGGACACCGCGTTCGTTACTTCCGAGTATCCCATAATTCTGAGCTTCGAGAATCACTGCTGCATGAAGCAGCAATATAAATTGGCGAAATATTGCGATGAGATATTCGGCGACCTGTTGCTGAAGGAGTCGCTGAAAGATTATCCCGTGAGTGTGAGGCGTCATGTTTAATGACCGCGATCAGGGAATTGAGATCAATCGTGTCAATGCAAACGCGCGCAACATTATTTCCAGCTTGAGCCTGGATGCCTTCTCCCTCCGCCTAGTGCGCTGAAACGTAAGATATTGATCAAAAACAAGCGATTGAAGCCAGAAGTGGAAAAGACCGAGCTCGAGCTCTTCCGCGCCGGACAATTCGAAGTTAAGGATGAAGTGGTGGAGGATGCCAGCGCACCTGCGGCTGCTCCACCTCCGGAGCCAGAGGCGCCAAAGGTGATTAACCACGTTAATGAACTCTTTCGAAAGACGGAAATTAAATCTCGCTCTTTTTTTTCTCTGGAAAATTAAAATTTTTGACCTTTTACCCTCGATAACTTGGTGAAAACTTTTCTCAGAATTTTTTAGATATTTTCAATAATTTTATACGTATTGGAACAATTTTCAGATTTTTTAACGCAAATTGGTATACTTTTCAGAAGTGTGTTAAGAAAGGTTGTATCTTTTCTAGGATTTTTCATATGTGTAATTTCTAAAGTATTCTAAGATTTGCAAGATTTCTTCATAATCTTATAAAAATTGAAAAGGATTTTTAAGAGTTTTTCAGAAATGAAAAATTCTAAGAAAAGAAGTGGACTTTCTCAGTATTTCTGAAAAGGTATTCGTATAGGAATTCTGAGAAAAATTTTCCCCAATGTACGTTTGCGGTTGTGCAGGAGGGCGAGGCTCCTGCCGCAGGCGAAGGAACTGAAGAGGTGCAAGCGATCCAATACACGGGCAGTACAATGCGAGTCCATCCTTATCTCTCGGCAATGATAAACTACGCGCAGCCAATAAAGTTTCAGAGTTTCGAGACGGCAGAGAGTACGTGATATGTTTGAACATCGTACTTATCTGTAATTGAGTATATTAGGGTGATTAACTGTATAGGGTGATAAGAAAATGTCACGAGGATTATTTTTAACAATTACCAAAGCTGTCAAAATAATTGGATTTTATTTTTTATCAAGTTTATAGCGGAGCATTTTCTGAGATTGCTCTATGATTTTATAATACACAAGCAATTAAAATGATTAATTTTTAGTACCCCTTAATATCTCTTTTCAAGGAGGTATGTATAATATGCTTAAATAGAAACAAGTATACACCCACAGAAAAAATTCCCGGATCTAATGCTATTACACTTGAATGTATTATAAGAGGATCGATATAGCACCAACATATTTATTATAGAGAAAGGATTATTTTAATCTTAAATTAAAAAATTCTAAAATCTAGAATAAAATGATAGCATGTATCGCCTTTTGTCGAATGGTGCCAGCTTCGTGCGTTGTACGATGGAGGGGAGATTTATTTTAAACGCAAGAATATATTAACTTACATTTATATAAGTTACTCTTGTCTCAATAAGTCTCAGTAAGTCAATCTTTTTTAATTCGGTAGAGATTAAGAATTATTGATTTTATTTTGATATTGCCTTAGTTTTATACTAAACGAGGTTGTGAGAAATATAAATGCGTCAAGAATATCTTTTGTCTCGGTAACAGAAATCCTTTCTGAGGGTGTACATTAATCGGCAGTTCTAGTGTTAAAAATGTTTTCTATGTTGATTTTTTCCTTAAGAAGTTTTATTTGGCAATGAGCACGTGAATTCGTAAACGCGCGAAATTTAGCATTACTCTTCCTTTCTCGCGACAAGTTTTGCGTATAATAATGCATCTTAAATTTACCGAGGTAGCCGGGTGTGTACGTGGTGGTGCGTATGTCCCGGAGACTTAAGGAGGGTTAAATGAATGAGCGTACACCGTGCGCACGTGTCGCGCGCGCGACATGTACTAATGTCTCGACCCCGACGTTGCAGGCAAGAATATACATCATAATATGTCTTCGTTCTCCGAGACTGCCGCTCTTAACTATCTGAAAACTCACTCCGTGGAGTTCGTTAATTACAACAAGCGGCAAATGAGTCGAATATATCCAAAGGGCACGAGGGCTGATTCGTCGAATTACATGCCCCAGGTAACTGCAACAATGTACAAACGCGCTTAGATTCTCCGCAGAGCTATTACTCACATGTAAATCCCTATTGCGTAACGATACGCGAACTGCGTCGAAAACTCTTTCGTTAGACGTTATCCTCGGAAAGGGAAGTGCACGACCTTATTTCACGCGAGATGTTCGTTTTCATTTAGGTTTTCTGGAACGCCGGCTGCCAGATGGTGGCTTTGAACTTCCAAACTCCTGATCTGCCGATACAGCTGAATCAGGGGAAATTCGAGTATAACGGTACAACGGGTTACCTGCTGAAGCCTGACTTTATGCGAAGGCCCGATCGAAACTTCGACCCTTTTTCCGAGGATGTCGACGGCATCATCACCGCGCAGTGCGCGGTCCAGGTCATAGCCGGGCAATTCCTGTCGGACAAGAAGGTGGGCACGTACGTGGAGGTGGATATGTACGGTCTACCAGCAGACACGATCAAGAAGGAATTCAGGACACGGATGGTACCGGCGAACGGTCTGAATCCGGTCTACAACGAGGAGCCGTTCTTGTTCCGGAAGGTCGTGCTTCCCGATTTGGCGGTGCTCAGATTTGGTACTGACGTCTGTTCTTCGTAATGTGTCCATCGTAATGTAAATTCAAAGCGAATGAATGCTGCCGCCGACTGAATCCTTTTTTATTTCACGTTTCATTTCGCGTAGGTGTGTACGAAGAGAGCGGCAAGCTGCTCGGGCAGCGAATCTTACCCTTGGACGGTCTTCAGGCCGGCTACAGGCACATCTCCTTGAAGACCGAAGCGAACTTTTCGATGGCGTTGCCCATGCTCTTCTGCAACATAGAGCTGAAGATTTACGTTCCCGATGGATTCGAAGGTAGCATCCCAGCCGCGGCTCAAAAATAGTAGCACTCTTCCTGGCTTTCGTTCACACAAGCCCGCCTCCAATTTCAGACTTTATGGCCGCCTTGTCGGATCCGGGCGGTTTTAGCAAGGCTGCCGAGAAGCAAACTGAGACGATGAAGGGACTCGGAATAGAACAGACGGATGCCAAGGGGGACGCTAAGAAGAAGAAAGAAGAAGAAACGAAGAAAGGTAATAAAGTTGCAAGATGCGATTGTTCTTTTTTTTATATTAAAACCTGATAATTAAATTAAACGGTAGAGAAGAAAAGAAAATGATGCCGAGTATACGTTTGTTATACGTGCGGCATATATACAATTTTTACGCAATTTCAGCGGAGGCACTGAAACTGGAGCCTATTACGTTAGAATCCTTGAGAAAAGAGAAGGGTTTCAAACTGGGCAAAAAGCACCAGAAGGAGTTGGATACCATGAGAAAGAAACATGCTAAGGAGAGGCAAACTCTGCAGAAAAATCATTGTAGTGCCATCGAAAAATTAACCAGAGGAAAAGAGTGCGTTGAAATTTTCTACAATGTAATCGCGCAAAGAGAGATTTGACAAATTAACAATTTTATGTTTAATGTTATTTAATACTTAATGTGTATAGTATGTTAAATTATATATGATATATTTGCTTCGTAGCAAAAATTCTCTGGCGCAGGACGCGAATGTGAAGAAAGTTATAAGCGAGCAAACGGCCCAATGGTCCACTATGATGGAGAAGCAGAGGAAGGAGGAGTGGGAATTACTGAAGAGTCAAACGCAGAGCTCTCGCGATGAGTTAAAGAGACTTATCGAGGTCGTGCAGGCCACGCAAGTTAAACTGATGCAGGCGAAACATGACAAGTTGGTTCATACCATTTATTAATTTTGTTATATTCCTCGTTGAATAATTTTCGCAATAACATTAGTTCTCATTCCCCTCTGTCACGTCGTTTAATACTGTACGTTAATATTGTAGAGACATAAAGGATTTGAATTCCAATCAAGCAAAAGTATCCGTGGAAACGGCGAAGGAAGTGATGAACGATAAAGCTCTAAGAACAAAAGGTGATAAGGACAGGAGGCTTCGCGAAAAGAAGCAACAGAATACGAAGAAATTTGTGGACGAGAGAAAGAATATAGAGATCAAACAGGGCCGTGAAAAAGAGAAGCTGAAGGTTACGCATGAAAAACAGGTGAAGGACTTGGACACGGATATCAATATAGTAAGTTTGAGTGGTTACTTGTCTGCAGTTATTTGGTCCTTTTATATAGAAAGATACAGCCCAGATTTTTCATAACAACAAGTAGTTTGTGGAACTTGACAGATAAAAACTTACAATTCTTTTCAGTTCTCTTTAGAGCAACAAGTTAACTTTTCATGCTTTAAAAAAATGATTCCTCTTTTCTATTAAAAAAATATATATATATTTCGATTAGCATTAAATTTTGTTGTTCGATATTCGAAAGTAGAGAAAATATATCATAAATAAACTAAATTGTACAGAAATAAACAATTGCGTAACTTTTTCCTGTGAAATTAATGTGATTTTGCAAAATAATATTCATTTATTTGGTCATGTTGCAGAACGTTGAAATATACGAAAACGAAGCTATTGAATACGACTTATCATCTAAGGCGGAATTCTATATATAATTTTCTCTTAATTTCTATACAGTCACATTCATCGTACATTAATATTTGCTTTATATTTTACGTAATAAACATGTATTGATTTTCTATTTTTTACAATTATATATTTTTTACATCATTATTACTACAGCAAATTGTTTTTAGGCTACGTGTAATTCATCGTAGCCTTCGTTATTAACCATTTATAAACAAGTACCTATGTATTGAGCAATATACTATGTAATAGCAAAAAATAAATAGCATTAAAAAATTTTGTTAAAATACTTTACCATTCTCTATCATAAATTACACATCAATTTTTCCTTCATAAAGGATGACAGAGTGCAGAAGTAATATCGATGAAATAATTTTAAATACCGATTGAATTATTATGTAACATTTTTTAAATATTTATTAACACAGCTCAACAATTTTAGAATACATTTTATAATATCTCCGAAGTGTAATCAGAACTGCGTGCAGTTCTATAATTATTTACACGACAATCGGAATGTATAAAACTATGTTTTGGCACGCAATTTTGTACGTTGTTAGACTTTTGTACGTCATTAAAGAGAGCCGGAAGTATTAACAATTAAAATCACAAACATTTAAATTCTCTTGACATTCTACAGAATTTTATCTAAGAATACACGGTATCTGTACTTTCCTGTAGTTGAATGAATTTTTGTACAAATGGCATACGATACACGCGCAAGGAGACGATAGACCCGATACACGCTCCAATCCAGTAAACCATCACGTGCTCCAGAGAAGAGGTTCCCAGACAACCGTACTTTAAAGAAGTCGCCAGTGCAGGATTGAAGTAACCACCGGTGTAGTTAAAAGCTGAAAAAATATTGTACATTGAAGATCAATGATACGGGCATTTTTTCGTGAAAGAAAGTATGAAAACGTTCGCCGACCTGCAACCACCAAAGACGTCCCCACGAAAGCGTCGATGATCGTGCTAAATCTCGGGTTCAAGTCACCTAAAGCGCGAGATGCCACCCTACATATACACGTTGCAACGCATTCCACAAGCGCTCCAGTAATAGCAGACACCTGAAAGGTCGTCGTACGCAATTCTTTTTAATTCAATCATGAAATTATTTCGAATTGCACGTGTTGAAAATAAGCGCGTGTCGCGTGATACACTGTACGCTGGATGGAATTTATAATGTTTAAAAATTAATATTAATAAATAATTCCCGGCGAAACATTTTTCATGCACGAACATAAATTATATATAGAATTATTATATAAAAAAATACATCAAATATGTTCATGCATATTTTTATATTGTATATTTCTATATAATTTTATACAATTCTACACTGTATAAATTAATTTTATATATGCTGTTTTATGAACAATTATTCCTTTTCACAAATTTTTCATATAAAAATATGTATAAATCTATAAAATTATATAGAAATATACAATGTAAAAATATATATGGACATATTTCATGTACAATTTTATATAATACTAATATATTTATGCATGCTCATGCATGAAAAATTTTTTACCGAGTTCCTTCTATACATAAACAGAATTCTGCCCGTGGAAAATCAAGGGCTACGATTTGGCCTTGCCTGTAGATCTGTAGTGCAATCGCCGTATGCTCTGTTCTTGTGCGTAGAAGCGAATTGGAGCGCCCACAATATTTGGATGTACTTGAATATAAGAAGACCGCCAGCCAATTCCGCGCATATCGACAGAAACGCGACGGTCAGGGGTTTCTTACGTATTACTACATCCTCTATGTGTGTATAAGGGCACGCCGAAGCTTCGTCCCAGTTCATTGACCACCAGATCGTTAGTAGAAACAAATAAAGCGCATACATCCATACTCCCCAATTGTCCGCAACTGAAGAAAGAAGTTCAAATATCTTTTTTGAGAGGAACAAGAATTAGAATGAAGACAGACTGCTCTTGTTGGTTGTATAATAAGCGCGACAGAGAAATAATTTTGAAAAATTCAATTTATACACTGAAAAAAAAATCTAGTTGAGTCAACCAGTCATCCGTTAACAAATAGACGAATCAGAATTTCTTTAGGATTTACCAGATGTGTAGTAAAGTCTAGCAAACTTCTGGTTGTGAAATATCGAGCCCTATTGTGCTAAATAGAAATTCTGTTTGGTTTAACAAAAATACATTCTATCATACATTTTTCTCATTGTAATTTAATTTTGTATACATTAAAAATATAATAACTATAAGGCTATAATATACAATAATACGCAACATGTCAATATAATTGTAATAAAAATAATCGATATCTAAATCCGTAGGTTCACTGTTTATCAAAAACTAATCGCATGATATCGCATAAATTAATTAATATATATAATCGCGTAACTATTATAGTCATGGCACAGAGAAACGCGCGTTCTAGTGAACCAAAGAGAAAGAGAGAGAGAGCACTATGCCTAGAGAACTCGTCTGTAGAGCCGGGCGTTAAATATAATTTTAGATATCATCTAACAGAAAACTATAATTATTTAACGCAAAATAACTGGGGATTGATAAATACCCTTATATAACAACACTTATAAAACAGTGAGCCGACTTACTTATGATGAGTTCGAAACATGCCCCGCAAAGTTCTGCCGTAGCTATGAATTCAAAGACCAGAGTTCTCGTGAGGGGATAGGAATCAAGATAAAATAGCGCATAGAGCCTTAGCCAGTACGCTATCCAAATCGTGACTCCGATGAACGCTGTAGACACTATCAAGTCTATTGATCCAGGCATTATCCTATTAAGATACGTGCCATTTAAACAAGTGCGGCATCAGCATAATGAAAACGTATGAGTGTAATAAAGCACATCCGATGTAACGCTACACGCTAAAAATAGAGTTATAGTTATACAATACAGCGTTATGTAATTAATATATTTACAATGGATTATCGATTTACAAATTAATGGATACAGTACGCTTTTCTTTTATCATTAAGATTATCAAACACCTTACGTTAACTGTGATAACGTGCGTTCAACAATAAAACGCGAAATATTAAAAACGCATTATGTAACCGATTTACTAATTCTACGAATTCGCCTAGCTTTTATAATCGTGAAATACAGTAAAAACTTACGGGATAATCACCAGATCACACTGATTGTTTTTCAACTTCTGTTATCTTGACTTTCATAAGTACTTCGCACGCGAGATATTTGCATTGAGTAGGGCTTCACGCAGCGGTTATTTAAAACTGGGAGTACCAAATATATCTACGCGAATATGTCGCGAGGTTTTAAATAACTCGGCGAGATTGTCATATATTTATGTTCGCGTCGGTACAATGAGTTCCAACGCAAAGTATTTGATGTATTTCGTAAGAATGCGAGAGATGATAAAACAGATGTAGTGATCGTAGTATAATGAATTGCGAATTTACAAAACTAGCAATTTTTTTTAAGTAGAATGTACGAAGCGACGGGATGGCAACTTCCCGCGTTCGCGGAGATGCGTATCTGCGACCGAACTGAACGATAGTCGTACGGCATCTGACCGAGAGTTCTTGTCTTTTCAAGCAGATATGCGAATGTAAGCTGTTGTTACTAACGGAGGTAAAGAAAGACATAATTTGTTGCAGTGAAAAAAAGATTCTAGATCTTTAACTTAAACATTCTGTGGAAGCCGAGTGATACAAATTAAGTCTCTGCCTGACGTGGCGCACAAAGGACTATAATAGGGCTCATTATCTGTAAGCCGTTTGGAAAATCTCGATATCGCGGTGCGACTTGTAAATTATTGTACAATTAAAATATTGAACAATTTAAAATAACTGGCTAAAAATATATTTAGAAGAAAATAAGATTACATTTTAATAACACGTAATTTGGAAATACACTTTTATACTTTCGCGAGTATACAATCGATAAAGATTCTCGCAGAGAAGTGAGTGTCGCAATGCACCAATGACGTCGCGGATGCTGCAGAATGTATATCCAATGCTATCAAAATATGCGCTTTAAATCTATATAAATATATGTAAAAGAAATATATATATACTCATTCAAGTCATATTAAATAAACCACATTAAGGTCGATTATGAAGGGACTCAACGTATACAATCAGAAATCATATCTGCAGTTTTATTCGCTTCATGAATTAACTACATTATTTTATATAGTTCAAATAAATGATTTCATCAAATTTTACGAATGTGGATTAACACTAATCTTATCACTGTAAAAAAGAAACATTTATTTACAAGAATTGAAGGACTCCCCTTTGGGCTTTTTAGCACTAGGAGAGTCATCTTGATTCTGTGTTCTTGATACTAGCCTAGGAATTCGTTTAGCTTTCAAGTAGGACATTGTTTCGGTAGATGACCTGAAAATTAATAAAAATAATCGTTAAATTAATACGGTTATACGCATTAATTTAATTACACGAAAAAATGTCTCGTGTAAAAAAAGTTCCATGTAACTCTTAGAGAACCTACACTTATTATACATGAAATGTATTTTCGAAAATATTTATCAAGTTGAGAATATTAATGGAGAAGAGCAATAAGGAAAGTCAAGTTGGGAAGGATTCATATAGTTGTGTATGATCGTATTTAAATAATTCTGAGAACAATTACAAAACCATATAAAATATACATGTATTATGCATACCTTGTATTTTTCTGTTCCGTCGAAATTTCCGTTGAATTATTCTCATTATTAGAATTAGAACTCAAAGGATAAGGAATGATCTGATAGGCAGTTCTACCGCCAAACTCGTTAGTTGACTCAGTGTTTTCAGTCACAAACGAAATTCGTGTCTCTACATCACTTGATTTTTTTTTATTCTCGGATTCTGACTTCGCAGTTTTTGCGTCTGTCGGACTTTCGACTTTCGGTTTAAGCTTGCCATCTTGCGTTGGGAAATTTACGGTAGGCAAATTAATAGTTTTATCCCCTTTGGTGTTATTCATCAATTTAATCAGCAGGTTCGATAACTCTTCTCTTTTTCTCGTTACGACAATCTCTTCGAACCAATTTTTCAAGATTTTAATTGGCAAAATATAATCTTGAATAGGATCCTAAAGAGGAAAGAAACTCATAATCATAATCATATGACCATTTGTGTAATTAGACGTGCAAAAAGTAAACACAATTAAAAAATATTTAATATTTTAATATACTTGCCTTGAAAAAACTTTCCACGTACTGCAATACATACAATCCGCAATCAGTAAAATTTGATTGCTGGGGTACTTTTGGACATGCTCCCTTAATAGTATCTTTCGAAAATGTTTTTTCTACACCCAGTTTGGCAACATGTTCACAACTTAAATAATCTCTTAACGTAGCAACTACCCGTGATCTACTAGCGCCAGCAAGTGAGTCGAATATTAATATGCAAGGGCTATAAATAAAATTATTCAAATATTAAAAACTATAATACATCAATTATATCACCTACATAATGACATACAAGACATACTACTTACAGCTTAACAGTTTCCTTCTGCGTTTCAAGTTTAACGACGTTAGTCTGAGTTTTATTTTCTTCCGTCATAGGTTGATCAGTCTCTTCCTATAAATAAAATATCTTGCATTATAATCAACCGTTTCAGGAAAAAAAGCCAAACATTATCAACAATTTTGTTCTACCTCTTCGTCGCTCTCCATTTCCATTTCTTCATCGTCGCCTTCTGCCTCGTCTCTTTCTGATCCATCATCTAGCTGGTCTATCGTTATGGTCGTTGGTACAGGAGTGATTGTTGTAGAGCCAATTGTGACAGCTTTTGTTTTCAGCTCTTTTATCTTTTTGCTCTTTTGCGGAGTCTTGTTAACGTCATTTTCGCTAGGTTTCGTAGCACAGGTGGATATTTTTCCAACTAATCCAGGAAAACAAATGATAGCCAAGAACCAATGTGCGCTGTAAACAAATTATGTAAAATATTATGTAACATGATATAATCTATTGTTATGTTAGTTAACAGTTACTTAGAAAATAAAACTAAAATTGCTTAGTTTATTATTGCTACATTATATAAGTTACTATATTATTATATTATTCAATACAGGCCCAAGGCGCAGACAGCGATGAAGCTTCAATATTTTTTTCTTTTTTTCGTCTATGTGCAATTGAATTCCTCGAACATACAATTGATTTTTTTATTTATTATTCCAACTTCAACTTAAAAAATTCTCAGGAATTCGTGGTCCCGAATGGACTTAACATCAAAACACCAGAAGAAGCTTACTGCATTTTAGACTTGTATTGGCCCTAAATTAAAATTTATTTTAAGAGATTACTTACTGTTCATTTATAGGAATTATAATAAAATCTTTTTCAAATATATTAACATTCTTCGTCCACTTCTGTACTCTTGCGTGCCGCTTGGCAGCAGGTGTCATTGGTACTGTACTTTCAGCAGCTTGGGCATGCGGGCTAGTTAAACGTTTGTAAAAATACGAACTGAACACGTGAGTTCTATGTTGATCAGATTCTGATAATACCTCTAAGGTCAAATACTTTAAGTAAAAGTCTATAATCACATCATTCAAAAACTGATCTTCGGCGAGACACACATAATCTTCAGTGTTGATGGCTATTCCTCCTTTTGCAGGAGGTGGTGGATACACAGTTATTCTATAAAAAAGCAGTTTTTTTATCAAAACACTTTAATAATATTTATAAATTACATTTATAAATGTATAATTATATGAAAAAAATTAAATAATAAATGATATAGATAAGACTACAAAATACATTTTATCGAAATACCAAATAATATTAATCTATTAAAGGGCAAAAGACGATTATTAAATAAGATTCTCACGTTTGTATGTCATCATTGGTAGCCGTGGTGGTATTTACTGAATTTTGATTCGCCTTCCGTGTAGTAATAAGCGATTGTTGACACTGTAAAGATATAAATATATAAAATATATATATATTATATATAGTATAAATTATATATATTATATAGTATAAATATGTATAATATATATTTTTATACATATTTATACTATATACTATATATATACTACAACAATATGTATGCATTATACATGATATACAGGGTGGTCTAAAAGTTCCGGAACGGTTGAATATCCCGAGAAATTGTGGGTGGATCGGAAAACGGAAAAATACGTATTTCCTATTTTTGAAAAGTGGGAGTTCCCATTTAAGATTTTAAAGTTGTCCTCCGCCCCACCCACAGGGGTGGGGGTGGGGGGGGGTCAATTTTGGTATCATTCGATAGCTCTTTCAAAAATAGGACATACGTATTTTTCCGTTTTCCGATCCACCCACAATTTCTCGGGATATTCAACCGTTCCGGGACTTTTAGACCACCCTGTATAAAATAAAATATAATTTAGTCAAATACATACATCTCTTGGTGATGCCCGTATAAGTATATCGTTTGCTTCCTTAGGATTCAATTCGTCAATTTTATCTCCCCGTGAGAATAAACTTGTTAGTATTGCCTTTGAATCATCCGGTAACCTATCCGGTAATAACGTAATACGTTTATGTGTGTGATCTAGAAAATAAGATTATAAAGTATTAATCGTCCAGGTCTTTCAAGAATCTTTACATCTTTCTTTACATATACATATCTGTACAAAAAATTGTGGAGGTTAAATAATAAAAAATAAACTTTTTTTTAAATCCTTAAATTATTTAATTTTATTTTAATTTAATTTATTGCAAAATAAGACGGTTATAAAGAAGGAATATAAAAATCGTAATGCAAAAGGTAGGGCACCAACAAAAACTGTTGTTGCAAAGCCCAGCAGTTTAGAAAAAGGTAAGAAAAAATTGTATAAGACAAATCGAACCAGAACAGTAAATAAAACAGAGATGTAATAATTAAACTAAAACATAAATTATATCCTTCAGGGTCGCCAGCAATAATTAACAACATTAATATTTGCTGACCGAATCTGCAATTTTAATAATTTAAGTATCTCTACGTTTCGACCATAGGTTTTGGTCCTTTTCAAGCGATCTGACTATATAAATTAGAGATTAACAATATTAATATATAAATAAATTAAATAAATCAGATATTATATTCACTGTTACAATAATTTACAATTGTTGGAGACATTACCTGAGGTGGTCGTATACACTCGCGTGTGCTTTGTGATGTAAAATGGATTTTCATGTATGATCATATACTAAAACTGAAAGTTAGAAAGAGAGAAAGGTGCAGAAATTTGGATTGTAATTAATGTAAAGACTTACATGCTTTGAAAATTTAGTGTCAGTGTTTGATACACGAGAACATTGCTCAATAGATGACGGGGCATGACTGATTAATGACACTAATAATTTACAAAAACACACAGAAAATCTTAACGCTATTTATGACCGTATAATTGACTTAACTTAAATCTGGACACCACTATTTATTTTTTATTTTAACCTATTCTCGTGACTTTCACTTGTTTTTAATTATACCAACCGACCAATATTTTCGTCAGTCATGCCCCGTCATCTATCGAGCAATGTTCTCGTGTATCAAACACTGACACTAAATTTTCAAAGCATGTAAGTCTTTACATTAATTACAATCCAAATTTCTGCACCTTTCTCTCTTTCTAACTCTCTCAGTTTTAGTATATGATCGTACATGAAAATCCATTTTACATCACCAAAACACACGCGAGCCTATGTATACGACCACCTCAGGTAATGTCTCCAACAATTGTAAATTATTGTAACAGTGAACATAATATCTCTGATTTATTTAATTTATTTATAGATTAATATTGTTAATCTCTAATTTATATAAACGGATCGTTTGAAAAGGACCAAAACCCATGGTCGAAACGTAGAGATGCTTAAATCATTAAAATTGCCAGATACGGTCAACAAATCTTAATTTTGATAATAATTAAATGTACGCAAGTATAAATATA